GAAATCAGAGTGTTTACATGCATATCATTGCCTTCCATCATACACTGCGGGCTGTATGAATTAGGGCCTGCAAACACAGCCTCATTCTCCTTGCATCACGCCAAGAGTCACTCCATTGATTACCCTTCCCCGCTCCCAGGAAATGGCTCATGCATCTCGTGTACATTATAACAAATGTTCTCTTTGCATTACAATTGAATTGTGATTGTTATGTTCAATCAATGGGGAAAGGTCACGGGATCGCTCCTGCCAGCGCTTTAATGGAGAAGTCGATGAGGATTCATTTTAATCACTGCGGCTGTGGCAGAATGAGCACAACACTGAGAGACTGTCAATGGCCCGGTAATTACCGCTGTTTATACAGGTTTCTGCTTTAGCAATTTAGATATCCACAAATCTCTCTGTTTCTTGCACCCCAGTTATATTGGAAGCTGCATGGCATCAAATGAAGTACTGTAGGATGTGGGCCGTGACTACTCTAATTGTGGAACTATCGGTGAGGCTGGCTCTTTGAAAATTAAGTGAGCTCCATTTGCTCCTCTTTTGAGCAGTTATATTACCAGAAAGCTGTTATTTTACATAGCTTGTGTGAAGGGGCATTCTATTAGCTAATCTGAATCCTAGTCCTGCCTTTTGCACTCGTATCAAGAGGTGGAATATTGTACACGTGCGTCACCCATGTTTACAGTTCACACCTGTCTAGGTTAACTCTGTACTGTAAGTGTACAAATGACTGTTTGTTCTAAATGATCTCATTCTATAATGCAATCGCACTAGAGGAAATTGTGATTCCATACAAAGTAGAGAACCTCAGTGATATACTTGTCGCTGATGTAGATTTAATTTCCCAGAATTCTCACTAAATGTCTAGACTTGACTTATCTACTTTTCTCTCATCTTTGGTCACTTTAGTTGATGTGTTGTTTTACATACGTACATACACATACGTAAGATGACTTAACTTTCACTTTATACAGTCAGAATTGGTTGGTGAAGTATGTGTAAGCAACAGCTGTGAAGTAAAAATGCAGTTTTAAGTAGACTGAGACTGCAAGTAATGATTATATTCATTATGGATGAATCAGCTTATTCTATTTTAAAAAGGAAATGGTCAAAAACACCCCTCAGCAAACAAACAAACAAATAAAACAACAACAAAAAACAGTGAGTCATCAAATAAGAATTTGCATTAGAGTGTTTTTTGCATATAAACTGATTTATCAACTAATTATATCAGCTGTAACGTAGACTGTCTCAGGATCTTATTTTGCATCTTGAAGTTAGTGGTTCGGATCAGAATATAACAGCAATATCACTTCAGACTCGGTAACTTAACAGTAAGAGGGAAGCCATTCTTTTTGGAAAGACGTTGATGTGTCCAGGGTAGAATATTATCACGCAGCCTTGACTATCAGAGTGCTCTCTGACATCACCCCTTTACCCCAAGTGGCATGTTTGTGTTGGACGGTGTCTAAGGATAGATGGGGTCAAGGCAGTGTAACCTTTGAGAAACAAATATTCATGATCAATAAGTGCTTTATTCCAAGCATCTAAATGATTCTTATGTCTGAAGCTGCTTCTCCCCCTCCACTTATTTGCCCATGCAGAAAAACAGTTTGAAGATTTATGCAGACTAGGTAAAAGGACATTTTAAAAGACTACACAGTATCACTGCTTCCAAATGTCATGTAATCATAGGTTAGAGGAGAGTGCTGGGCACAGAGAGCTAAGTGATGTTACAGATAATGAATTGCCTCTGAAATATAATACATCGTGAGTATGATTCTTTGTTCCAAGCTCTGTACACCAACTCTGTACAATTAAAGTTATTTATCTCTCTCGTTTTTTAAGTTCATCAATTATATTGTGATACACTTAATGTCCATAAGAGGATGATGTATGATTGGTCTAATTATTTCTTATTCACCATGCTTTCTAAAGCATATCAATTTTGTTAATACCATGTAATTAAAACACGTCAGTGCGCTACAAGTTGCTGGCTGTATTAATGACTATGAAAATTATTTTAATTAAATAGCCAATTATAGAAAAATCCTAACCATGAGAATTGACATTTAAATGAATTCAATTTAAATTGCTTTTCAACATTGTTTTATCAAAGCTTTATGGGGTGAATAAATTATTACATCAAACAATATACTGTGTCATTGATCATACACAAGTCTTGTCCCATATCTATACATTTTCAAACACTTTCCTGATGCCATACATCATACTGGGTGATTACATTTTGACATAGTCATTTGTTTACCACAATCTCATCCACATGTACTGTACCTCTGTGTACTTTCAGGAAAGCTCTTAACTGTTTATGTGACTTAGTTCAGTCACGCTCGGAACTTCATTCACTGCGTTAATTTCCAACTATTTTTGCAAGGACAATTTTAAACTGCCGCTACTAAGCTCCACTATGCCTGAAGGAAATATATGGCACATTTTTGTCACAAGTAAACAGTTTTCCTAGTAAGCTGCTTCCTCCCAAGACAGGTTCCCACCCATGACTTTTACATGCAGTAATGATTTTGCATTTGTGCTGAATTATATCAACAAAGTATTGTGATGTAAATCACTGTACCAGTATACAGACTTTATTTTTGTGTTATGCTGTGTTTTCATAACTGGGGTCAAACACATGCAGCCCACCCAGTCTGTTGAAAGGCCTTTGTATCGAAAAACATCATACATATCCTGTGGTGCCTTTTAATACCTATTAGGCTCCTCATATTTTCCTTTTTTCCCCTGCATAATGTTAATGAAAGTCATTTTTCAGACATTACAAGCACAATGATTTGCAGTTAACCCATGCAAACAAGAGAAATAGTGGGCAAACTGTTGTGACATTCATTGTATATAATGAAATCTTAATATGGTGCATATTTAAGTGAAAGGTTAGCAACATAAAGGGCAAATGGATTGCCTGGCAATGAATTTTAAGCAGCTATTGATTTTACACTACAAGCTACCTCTTTCCCTGAATGATAATTTTGAAATGGCACACTGCTTATCTTAAAGCTGATCTGACACAACAGGACAACAGGAATACACAGAATATTAAGGCAAATGCTGACTGTGATAAGCAACGCGCCTCTTGATGACTTACACCTTAATATTACGCGTCTCCAGACCCACCAGTTAATTGGAAATCTAAGGAAATGAGCACTACCAAGTTGGGGGACGGAAAGTAAAAAACCCTTACGGTTGTGCTGACTCAAACTGATTCTTAAACATCACTTTAATTTCTGCAAAACTCTCAGAGTTTGATTAGTCCACTCGCGGTTTTTCTGCCGTACCTTGAATAACATAAAAGCTGAGTATTGTTTACAAGTCTTATCTAACATACTAAAGCCCTGATCTTAATGGGTTGCATTGTATTAATGAATTGTCTGATTTGGGATAATTCTGCTGCATGTTTACATGCTGTAGTGTTACACCAACCTGGCTGATTTGTTAGAAAATACACAGCGCTTCATAGATGTGCCACAGTGGCTAAATACATGTGTAAACTCTATATAAGCTGCTCTTACTGTACACGGACTTGACCCCTGTTACAGTGCGTCAATCCCTCCCTCTCCGCCTTTATCCTTCTTTCCTCTTCTGTCTGAGTTTGAGACTGAGGGAAAGTTTGAGAGTTCACGTTCGAGCTGGGTTAAGCTTGGTTCACTATTCAGCATCATAAAATACTATAACCCCTGAACAAGCTGGTGTTCTGTCTGGAGGATATGCAGTATGTGCACCATCTCTAGAGTTGACACTACATCACTGTGTAAGCCATCCCTAAAAGTAAACAGTTACAGTTTTTATGATCAGTGTGTAAATGTTTATTTTATTTTTTTTAGGTTTTAACCTAATGTAGTTTTCTCACACCACCTCAAAATGTAATTGGCACTATCAATATGAAGGTTTCGGCTTCTCTCAGGTACTTTATCTACAGCAAATTGGAGTTCATTAACAATTTTAACAATGTTGCCTGAGGACACATTGTTTGACATGTTCATCTGCTCATCTGTAATTCTTACATAGTAAAATAATAGTTATCTTTGGCATTGCACCTGAAATGGACAGTAAGCGGAAGACGTGAACCACTGCATGTGTAGTACCATATAACTTGTATAATGATATAACTGAGTGCTAAGTGCTGGAGAATTACAGTCAAACTTTAATAAGTAAGTGTACTTATATATGCAGTATACATTGTGATGTAAACAGTGTTTTAGTTTGGATACAAAACTTCCATTCCTGAAAAACAACCATTACCTCATGTTGTGATATGCTCTTACTTCATACAAAAAGCTTTAGCCACTTTGGTTGTGTAAATACAATAACCAGACAGGACTAATTAAATGAGACATATTTCCCTGGTCACAGATAGGGTGTACCTTGAACAGTGAGTCATTATGCTCAGTCAGAAAATATGACATCAGAATTAAAGTTATGAAAACATTTTCAGTATTAATGCCTGAATGAAAAAAAAAAAATACAAGTTTGCAAAAATGCTTTTAAATAGTCACAGAATGTAAGCAACTACAGTGCAACGAGTTTTCGAAACATTTTGGTGCATAGAGTGATTAATTCTCAGATTCATGAACACTGTGTGGATTTGCATACCGTTGGATAGCAGGTGTAACCTTTATGCCTGTTTAATAACTAATACCTGAAATTTCAGACATACCCAGTGAGTGCATGTTGTTTTTGACCACAGAAAGGAAAAAAACAATTCCTGCAAATTTTTACACGATCATGATCCGATTTAACCGGATCTCTCATGCGTGGAATAAACGAGGCAACATCTTAACAGACCTGAAACATTTCAGTGGTAGCCAGTACCCAGTTATCTGTTCTTCAAAGGCTTTCACTGTCCCCTAGCTCCTCCCTCTCTGTACCGTGTGACAACAACAACTCATCCACAGAGCGGAGCTGCACTTTTCAGCTCATTTTCCTCCTGTCATTCCTCCTCCTATCTTTGATCATTGTCCCGCCGCTCAGCCCCCCCAAAACCCTCACTCAGCACGCCTTTTTTCGGCAGCTCTTTTTACTTCCCAACTTATCTGAGGAGCTAAACTCTCGTGGATTCTTTCATTTAGGGGTGTCTCGGCAGGCTGGGTTTTATACTTTGAACTTCGGCTACTCTCTTCCCCTCCTGTAGGTGACCATGGCCGTACCGGCTGCTCTGATCCCACCAACTCCTCTGGTCCCACCGCCTCCGATCTCGACTCCCTCCGCGACGACGTCCCCGCCGTCGACAACTTCATCACCATCTCCATCCCTGGCCCCCCCATCCGGACCCGGACAGAACCTGTTCAGATCAGAGCTCCTCGCCACCAGCAGCCCGGGCATCCCGACATCGGCTCTTCCCCCCAGCAAACCCGTGTACTCGACCCCGTCGCCTGTTGAAAACATACCGCAAAACAATGAGTGCAAGATGGTCGAGTTGCGCGGTGCCAAAGTGGCTTCTTTCACCGTGGACGGCTGCGAGCTCATCTGCCTTCCTCAGGCTTTCGACCTGTTCCTGAAGCACCTGGTCGGCGGACTGCACACGGTCTACACCAAGCTGAAGCGGCTGGAGATCACGCCGGTGGTGTGCAATGTGGAGCAGGTCCGCATCCTCAGAGGACTCGGCGCCATCCAGCCCGGGGTGAACCGCTGTAAACTCATCTCCAGAAAAGACTTCGAGACTCTGTACAACGACTGCACCAATGCGAGGTTAGTGGCGAGCTGTGTACGGCATTTTGGTTTAAATGTCTTTGCGGACAGCCGTGCGTAAAGGCGCAGGAGCAAGAAAGGGGGAGACATTTTCCCTTTATAAAACAAGTGGCTCAAGCGACATGATTAACTTATCAGCCGAGTTTCATAATCGATTGTTTAAGCGTGTGTAGGTGCGTGTGGATGTGCGTTAGCGTGTCTGTCAAACTCCATCCCAAACATTCAAGTAACGTGCTGGCAGTTAGTTCTCTGTTGGACGGGAAGAGGCCAGCGCGCAACATCAGTGGAAAAGTTTAGTGAAAGTTTTTAACACGTGCAGGGCAAAGCTGTGCCATGATGGATAGCCTGTCTGCCTCTGAGCAAATGAATCGATAATGTATACTACACCTCTGCTGAGTTTCACTATGCTGTTGAATAAACTTCAGGTGTAGAGCTGCCACTGCAAAGATAATTTCAGAAACAGGAGCCTTGTCATCTTTTATGAGCCACACTTTACTGTAATTCCTCTATTAATTTACCAGCTCAAATTTATTTTTAAATGATGGAATTAAAAGTAGGTTATGCCTTATTATATGTCCTTGCCACAGGGGTAATATGATTTCACTTGTGATAAGTTAGATTTTTAGAAAGTAAACAAGACAAACCCAGATTCTCAGAATTTGATGGCATGGAATATTTTTTTATATCGCATTGATAGCCAGCACATTTCTTTAAGAGGTTATAATACACTCAGGGTTCCTGTTGAAAAAGCGTGTATGAAGCCAGTTTTTTTTTTCACACTGTAAATTCTAGGGATAATTTTCTCTCTCTCACACACACATACACACACACACACACATACACACACACACACACATACACACACACACACCAGAATCTGCCTTAAATCAAACAGCCTTGATTTCTGTAAAACAAGGAAATTAATACAGAGTGAGCAAGGTAAACATCTCCACATGTGCAAATTAATGCATCACCCCATATTACCAAAATCAAATATTTTCATCTCTATATGTTTTAATATGGAGTGATTTAAGTGGCGATCAATATTTGATTAAAAGCCATTTTTACTGTTATGTTGCTCCTAGCTTTGATGTATCGCTGAGTCTCACAGGATGGTTCAGCCTGGTCAAATTTACCATCTTACCTGTCACTATGATTGATTCCATATTGATCTCCTTGCCAGAAATGAGTTGGAAATGCAAATATGATGGAAAGGCTCGCATCAGTGGGGAATAACAATAAACACTTTGAGTCTCAGTTTAAAAGCACACATTATTTTTGGAAAATTATAGTGTGAGATTAAACTTAATTCTGACTTTTTGGATGAACGCTTAAGTATCACACGCATGTGAAAAATCACAAACACTAAAGCAGACACACACACACACTCCGAAATTACTGTGCAAACAGATCATTTTTTTAATGTGCCATTTTGTGTCATTAAGATCCATACATATGATGAGGTTGAATACAATTTGATCCTCAAAGTCCGGTCAGAAAATGCAAAATCAAGTAAGGGAAACTTGAGAGAGATATTATCACAGTTGAACATTTTTAATTCTAAATCTCTCTCATGTAGTTCATTTATTTACATTTTCCGTAGCCTGCAGTTTTCACAGTTTCTCTTCTCTTTACACTATATCCTTCAAAACAGTCAGCCTCACACATCTACACACAACATTAGCATGAGCTTATGAATATGCTGCAGTTCCACATTTCCATTCCAGTAGCAATCGTCTCGACAACTCACCTGTACACTTAGGTGCTTAAGCATCATTTACATAAAGCATCAAGGGAGCAGAACACCCCCCCCCACCCCCCCTCCCTTCTTTATAGAGAGAAACATACTGTGTGGTGATCCTCCTCTCAAGCCTGGCGTGGGGCTTCAGGTGACAAAGTATGTGGTTGAACTCTCTGGGTTGTCAATGGGGGGATGGCCAGCGATGGGGTTAAAGGATAATGCAGTGCCTCGCGTCGCTTTAATGACGCTAAAGTGCTGGGCTATTACGGGCACATGGACAGGACTGTAATTGTCTCTGAAAGCAGCCAGGTTCTCCCGGTGCTGGGCTGAAATCAATCACTCAGACCCGGCCTGCCCGCCTGCCTGCCCCATTTGGAGAATTACATCATGGAACAGTGAGGCATCCGCTGGATAAAAGGCTTCTGTTACTTAGAATAAGTTGATTTTATTTGCTGGGATGTGTGCTTTACTCCGTCTGTCATTGAATTGCTGCTGACAGAATGATCAGTCGGAGTAAACAGGACACAGGTTGCCCAGTAGGTGAAAACAAGTTCCCTCTCCAAAGTCGATGTTCCCTTTTGTACCGACTTACTGTAAGATAACAAGAATTTGAGTTCACCGGTTAACCCGCTTGGGTTACACAACAACAGCCTGCTGCCTGAGATAGTTTAGCTTTTCATCTCACCCTATTACCACAATGTCACTACTCTTTTTATACAGTGGCAGAGTAGTAACAATGAAGTGAATAATACTCCTGTACAATGGGTCTTACTATTTCACATGCTGTTTTTTCCCCTCCCACGGTCTATTGTGTTAAAACAACACTACTCTCATTTTGCACACAGTGTGAATGTGAATAGCATCACAGAGCACCGCTGCATCCCGCTGGTTTAGTTTTGATGTGGACACAAACAAGCTCTAGCCAAATTGTTCCCAACTATGCTTACTTTAGCATAACACTTTCTGAGCGCATTAAATAGACAAGAGTATTTTATTTTCGAATTGTGATGTTGGATTTTTATGTACTTATTTATTTCATTTGTATTTAAGTGAGGGATTTAAACATGGAAATGTATGATTCCTCTTACATTTTTTTTACAGTGAGTGTTTGAACTATGTGTACTTTGCCTAGTAAGTGACATATTTTTTTTAAACTAATTATTGTTAATCTTTAAAGATACTAGGAATACAGTCATTCTCGACCCCTTCATTTTCCTAAGGACTCTTGTGCCAGATTAGCAGTGTTCGCTCTTGCTCCCACACTGATCCAGGTTCAGTAATCTCCCCTACATTATGACTCTGGCCCTCCAGGAGCCCTCCAGGAGCCCTCTGTTCCAGCTACTTGTTTTCCTTTTCATTTTCCCTGCGGTGGGATGGAAAAGGTTCTTATTGCTGTGTGACACTTGAACTCTCTGAAAGGTTATTATAACACGGGGGGCGGTGCAGAGATATCGCATATCTCTCATTGGTCTGCTTTGTGGAGGCAGGCTATCCGATGCTGGGGCGCAGAAATGCAGCAGTTAATTGACAATCATTGTCTACCCCTGAAGGTTAACCACACGCCCCAGACAATGTCCCACCACTGGGAATGGGACGGCTTTTCACTTACATGCCCTTCTTAAATAGATTTTCCCTGGCTCGTTTCAGTCAAACAGATCTGACTCTGAAATGTTACGAGTGACAGGTCACAGTGAAACGACTTTTTTCTTTAACAAATATATCTAATTGATACTGATATGACAGCGAGTGTTATGAGAGCTATCACCTCTCTTGTTCTTACTTTGAGTGTTTATGCCTAAACACACATATTTGCAAATGACGGTAATTGTTTTGTTTAGCGCTCAGTGTGAGCTGCCACTGAGGGTGCCAGCTTGTCTCTCTCCCTCCTCTCCTCTGCTGAGCTCTCTTATAATATATTTGTTTTCTACAAGGCACGGATGTGTTTACAGGTACTCAGGGGAGATTTCTGGATTCCATTCAAATCATTCCCAGTCAGAGTGGGTGCTAAGATACCCGTCACCCAGCAACCACATCCAAGAGGGAGCTTGGGCGATAATAACTTCAAAAACAGAGTGACAGATGCCTGATTAGAGAGAGGGAAAGAGCGAGAGAGGGAGAGAGAGAAGGGGAGAGAGATGGAGGGAGAGAGGGGGAGAGAGAGATAATGGTATACAAAGCTGTTTAAAATCCAAATCTATTCAAGTACTTTCTTGAAAGTCAAATTGGCCCTCATATTGTGTGTTGTTTCTTTATCGAAGTAAAAAAAAAAGCATTTAAAGTTCTTTTTTTTTGTTTTTGTTTTTTTTTACATGTTTAATCCTTCTGTGGGGCTCTGCTAAATTTGATTAGGTACAGTACATGTGCTCAAGTCAACTGTGCAGTTGGCAGATGGCGGCAAGGTGTTTTTTTTTTTTTTTTTTTGCAAATAGTCTCCTTGAAAATCAGAATTGCTTTATTGACTTGACATTCACTCAGCTGTAACAAGTGCAAATTAAAACATTTTTTAGAAAAATCCACAGACGAGCTCAGTTGACAAAAAGTAACATTCATTTTCTTCATTTTCTTTTAAGATCATTTCGTTGTAGCTTACAATGATGCTGAGCCAAGACTGTCGAAACCACAGATTTCACTTGTTAAAGAGGCTTTGTTTGACACTGTCTAATGTCATTTGTGGATTTAGAGGCTATTTGCATGGCAAAGAGGCCTGTATTGTTAATTTGCCTGTCGGATGCATTAGTTGTCCAAGCTCCTATCTTATTTGCATGTCTTTACTGGATCGGCAACAGCAATTGAATTACCAATTAATTCTTCTACCAAAATGAAATGGTTTAAAATGGACATCAGGTCTTTTTTCCACATTGATCAGTATAATAAAATGACCTATTTTTTTTACTATGTTCACCAACCATAATGGGGTATTAGCTTTGATTTTTATAGACAACAGACTTAAGCTGTTTGAAATATATCTGTCAATATGACTTATCTAGCATATTAAACTAGATTTGTTAACAGTGATTTTACCTGATGATTTTGCACTTGAGACTGATTGCCTGACAGAGCAGCAATAGATTTTGGGTCACTCTGATTTCTGTTCTCCTCTCTCCCCAGCCAGAGCTCCCCGGCTTGTCTTTACTCACGGGCTCCTTCACATTACAGCACATTTAGGGAGCATAGCAAAAGTCACTGATGCTCGTACCAGGATGTTAAATGCTACTGACAGAAGTTAGAGGGAGCAGATGAGATTTCCTGATTGGAGAAG